CTAAGCAAGCCAAAATCCAAGGCAACAGTGGCAAGGAACCAAAACTCCATCAGGTGACAGAATGGAGAAAAAAACCTTGGGAGAAACCAGACTCAGTCGGGGGGCCAGTTCTCCTCTGGCCAACGGAAGAACAGTGCATGATTCGGGCAGCATTACAAGTCAGATTGGATCGGAACATTTAGAGTATTTTTTGGAAGTCCAAGTATGCACGCCGGTCTTAAGACGAGTTGTTGAGGATCAGTGCCGTCCACCATAGAGAGTCCATATCGCCCGTGTTGAGTCGTCACTTCATAGGCTTTGTGATTGGAGCATCTGAAGTCTCCGTGAGAGGCTGGATACAAACTGGAGCTGACGAACGCCATTTTCTCGGGACTCGCGTCCCGAGATAACAGCAGAAAAGCAAAGGGAAAATAATTAGCGTAGCTGCTGTTCATAATGATGATTTCCATAACACAGGCGTAAAAGACAAAACATGAAGACAGTGACTCTTGCGTCCCAAAATCACCCCCCTCCGTCCCCCACTCAACTCTGCCCAGCTTACTGACCTCTACATCCCTCCTGCTGCTGAGACCTAACCACAATCTCACAATCTCTCCGCAACCCAACCATACGCGCCAACCCGTTGACTAAGGCTGTCGAGCCCCACTGGTGCGTGAATAGGCAGTTTCAGTGGACAACGGTTCCGTATGGCATACTACCTACCGCAACACAATATCTGCCCAACCACCCGTCATTCACGCAATATACACAGGAACGTAATAACTGCAAATACTATGCAACCTATACAGATAACCTACAGTCTCTTCAAGTTTTATAGTATTAAATGCATTTGATCTGATTCAGCAGTATAATAAAAGGTAAGCATTATGTAAATGCTTGGCTAAAAAGATGCGTCTTTAATCTAGTTTTAAACTGGGACAGCGAGTCTGAGCCTCGAACAATATCAGGAAGGCTATTCCAGAGTTTAGGAGCTAAATGTGAGAACGCCCTCCCTCCTTTAGTGGACTTAGATATCCTAGGAATGACTAGAAGCCTCGAATTTAGTGATCTTAAAGAACGCGATGGATTGTAGGGCGATAGAAGGTCCATTAAATACACAGGAGCTAAACCATTTAGGGCTTTATAGGTCAGTAATAGTACTTTGTAATTGATACGGAACTTGATAGGTAACCAGTGCAGAGATGATAGAATCGGTGTTATATGATCATATTTTCTTGACCTAGTAAGAACTCTAGCGGCTGCATTTTGCACTAACTGTAGCTTGTTTATTGAGGATGCAGGACAACCGGCTAATAAAGCATTACAGTAATCTAGTCTCGAGGTCATGAATGCATGAACTAACTTTTCTGCATCGGAAACAGATAGCATGTTACGTAATTTAGCAATGTTTCTAAGATGGAAAAAGGCCGTTCTTGTAACATATGAAATATGATTTTCGAAAGACAAGTTGTGGTCTAGTATAACTCCCAGGTCTTTTACCGTAGAGGATAAAGTAACAGGACATCCTTCTATATTAAAGTTGTATTGTAAGTGGTTTTGTGGATAGTTTTTTGGACCAACAAGTAATACCTCGGTTTTATCTGGATTTAGTAGCAGGATTATGATGCGGTCTGAATCCTGACTGAAATTTTTCATATATCTCATTTTCTTGCATGAAAGAGCACAATTGAGCGGACACAGTCTTTTGTAGTATTTTAGACATAAATGGAAGATTTGAAATCGGTCTGTAATTTGCTAAGTTATTTGGATCTAATTGCGGTTTCTTAATGAGAGGTTTTATTACTGCCAGCTTGAATATTTTTGGAACATGACCTAAAGATAAAGACGAGTTAATAATATTAAGAAGAGGCTCTTCCACTACAGGTAACACTTCTTTCAGAAATTTAGTTGGTATTGGATCTAATAAACATGTTGTTGGTTTAGATGCAATGATAAGTTTATTTAGCTCTTCCTGTCCTATAGTTGTAAAGCGGTGTAGTTGTTCTTGAGGGGCGATAATTGAGGCTGAATCATAAGACACCATAGAGGATTGTACATTTACAATTGTGTTTCGGATGCTTTTTATTTTCTCATTGAAGTAGTTCATAAAATCATTACAGCTATACTGTAACGGAATAATTTGCTCGGGTGATGTCTGTTTATTTGTTAGTCTAGCCACGGTGTTAAATAAAAACCTTGGATTATTTTGGTGATTTTCTATTAGTTTGCGGAGATGCTCAGCCCTGGCTGCTTTTAGAGCTTTTTTATAACGTGACATACTGTCTACCCTGTTACTGTCATACTGTCTACCCTGTCTACCCTGTCTACCCTGTCTACCCTGTACTACCCTGTTCGCGCAGACATCACACGTCATCAGCACGTTCCGTAAGTCTATGCAGAGTTGTGGACAGACAATCATCCGAGCACGCGCAAACAAACAGCAGCCATCTTTTACAGGTCATCCTGAAGCAAAACAACGAGCTTATGCTGCATTCACGCCATGTCATAACCGTAATTACAAGATACACCCTCTGACGTTTGTCCTCAGACTGGGATTTATGCAGTTCTCTGGCAACACTATCAACACCGAGATGAATCTGCAGCAGTCAGGTGGTACAAGTCTGAGCTCTGTAAGTTGTTTTTATCTTCATTATTATTGTAATGTTATGTGCTTTGAGACATGAGGTAATTTAACGCCATCTCTCGAGACACTTTGCAGAATCTGCTCTGGCTGTGTGCATGTGTTTGGAAGGAGGCGTGGGTTTGGAGAACGCTCTGAAGGGAGGTTGGGATCTAATACTTTCAAAGATGATGTTGCTAGCCTGTAACGAGGTGCGGCTGAAGCAGAGATGAGGCAGGAACCAAATGCAGCACACGCTTTATTTAACAGACCACAAACTATACAAATTAGACTGGATACAGGACTCGGGACCAGGATACGAGAACAGAAACGAACAACCAACATCAACGTTAACAAGCTCAGCGAACTGTAACACATACAAGAACTCACCAAGACAGGGCTTAAATAATCAGGGACAAACGAGCTAGACAAGATAACAAGGGGGCGTGGTTAATCAGAAACACCTGGGATAACCAATAGACAAGACAGGGAACCATAGAACCTGACAGGACACAAAACCCACACCGTGATATAGCCTCTCCGAAATTGCCTGTATACCTTTAAGTTAACAGATTTTTTCTTGGAATGTTTTTCCCCCTAATAGTAGGTGGTTTGGTAGCTTCTATAGAAGCACTTCAAACATCTTCCTGATTATTGAGAGGGGTCCCTCAGATTGGATGTTTCCAAATAGTGCAGTGAGTGTTTTTCTACCATTTCTGTATGTCCTGCTGAAATGAGATTAGGCAGGTTAAGCAGCACCTCTAAGGGTTCAGCACGAGCTGCTGTCAGCTGTTTTACCTGGGATGTTAATGGACATGACTCATGACTGTTTTCTCCCAGTCAGCAGAAAAGGACTACCACGAAAGTCCATCTTACATTTTCTAACAGCCGCATAAGCTAAGAGTGAAACGAATAATTCAAACCTAAAAGTTTTTCTGCCAGAAAATATTTTTTATATTACTAATGACCTGTCATTATTCATTTGGTTTTGACTGTGATTGCAATAACTCACACCATTTAATATGCGTAATATTAATATTTGCATTTATATGACAGACTTCTCTGGATTTCTTCTTCGTCCCTGTCTGTCGAAGATGACAACGGTTATGGTCAGAGTAGCGACAACAGTGGCTAAACAGTCCGATTTTGAGTGGCTTTCAAATAGGAGGCTCCACACAAATAACCCATAATAGCTTATTGCTCTTTAAATGCACTGTCTGCACCACTCTAGCCCTTGGAGATGTTATATGCTGATTTCTGGTTATTTTGGGGTGTTTAATAGCACATTTAATTTCTGCTGCTCTTCACATGCCTAGCTAGTGATCAGACTCATCCCTGGTCTCTGTGTGAACATATCTGGTATGTACTGCCCTCTAGTGGTGTGGGAAAGATCACCTCAATGGATTGGTATTGCAAAACCACCAGTAGCCCATGTTCATTTATTTTTTATTTGGGTTAACCACAGCGCACCTCATTGCTTAATAAATGCAATCTCCCCACATTTGCTCTAATCTCTGTGTTTTCTTCTCAGTACTATCAAGCCTCCAGCATCCACTGCGGCTTATCATATTATTGTTACTGTCATAATAATCAACCTGATGTCCATCCACTGTTGTGACATCAGAAAATCCTGGACTACATGACACAATAATAACAAACATTTTATTTACACAATTACTCTGAATGGTATAAGAATAATCATCCTTTCTGAATTGTAACAATTTGAGGTCGCAAAAGAGTTAGAGACAGTGACACTAAAAACACTCTGAAATCAATGGAACAGATGCCATGCAGGAAAAGGACGAGAAATGTGTATGACAGGTCCAAATTTAAACATAATTTCAGATAGATGAATTTCACTGTAGTTTTTTCCTTTTACTTTGTTCCTGGTGTTTCAAAAGCAATGACAGGAATGTGCTTTGCTGCATTTTTGGCAATGTTCACATTTTTAGGTTATGACAAATCTCATGGGCCTAATCAGTTGACAAATACCTTATTTTTTGGGTTGTGCAGAGTGGAGAGATAGAGCATGGATGTTGAATGTATAGAAGTCATGCATAGAATTAGCTAAACTGAAAGTTTTTCAAGTTCAATCCACAAAACAGTTTCTGAAACGTAAAACTACCCAACAAGGCAAGCATATACTGAAGATTAAGCAACATATCAAAACAGGCATCCAAATTAATTTTGAGTTGGCTAACAAAACCCCTTTCATTCTGATGAAGGCCATCCAAATAACCTGAAAAAAAAACAGGGAAAAAGTGAATGTCCAATGAATGTGAGGATTTAAACAGCAGAAGCTAAGTGCTGTTTTATATTCTGAGTGTGCAAGTGAAAGTAAGTGTACTTGCAGTAAAAGTGAAAGAGATTTGAATGCTTAACTAGTGTGACAGGTTTCACAGTCAACAGCAGGAAAGGCGAAGACTACTCTGAACAATTACAAAAAAATCACATACAGATCTCATAACTCGCAGTTTTTCTTGAGAAAACTTGTGAGAGCTTCGGGTCCTCTGCACATTCTTCTAATGAGACTTGAGATATTTCAACAGAAAAGGTAAAGTAACAAGCCCTGGTGGGTCTGTTGCACACTTTAAAATGTGAACGAATGGTAAAGTCTTTAAAAATAGATCTTCTTTTAGCACTATGCGACATCCTAAAATTCTGTCCAGATGATTCATGAAACAAAAATTCTTCTGTTAACAATAATAAGACTTGTTGTGTTACTGTGACAATGACGTACATTTCAATACTTAAAGACAATAAGTAGAAAACTAGTCATAAGCAGATTATTACCATAGGTATATGATTAATTAAGCAAATGCCAGTAAAGATAATATTGAAATATGAAGTCATTTTTTGTGATGCTGTGATTGGTGGTTAGATGGATTTATTTTATTTCTTTAACAGTTTTTTGTCTCCCTATATTTAGGAGAGAATAATGGCATCTGCAAGCAGCAGTAAGGCTTAAAATTCTGTCACATGATAATATTTCATTAACACACAAAATATAGCATAATTTAGGTCATGTACATTCCATGTGTTTCTCTCTTCCTTCACAGACGAGTTTCATCTTATTGTCCCTAATGAATCTCAGAGTGCTGAGGTCAAACTGGGGTCTGATGTCACCGTACCGTGTCATCTGTCACCTGAAATCAGCGCTGTTGACATGGAGATCAGGTGGTTTAAGGAGACAGGCTGTGCTTGTCTCTATAAGAACAGAGAGGTGATAGAAGGAAGGAGCTACGATGGCAGAACAGGTCTGTCCACTAAAGAGCTGAACAGAGGAAATGTTTCCTTGAACCTCAGAGAGTTCAGAGAATCAGACATAGGGGTTTACCTGTGTCAGGTCATCAGTGAAGACAGAACAGAGGAAATAACAATAGGATTAGAAGGCGAGCATCCCATAACTTCCCTCTACATCAGCTCAATGTCCTCAACAGTCTCCTACCAGGGAGAAATTAATCTAATCTTAACCAAACCCAATAAAACACATGCTAATGCTTTAAATTGTGTCTTGTTCCCTCAGCAAGGGAGGATTCTGATGGCCAACCTGTAAATCAGCCATCAAAGATTCAAGGTAGACAAGTTCATCTGACACTTCATGAGGTAAGTCGACTTAAGAACTACTTTACATTATCCATTAACGTAATGTAATTGCTTTAATGCATTACAGTTTTTTTATTGCTTCCTAGGTTTGATTTTAAAATGTATGCACAGGGATCCTAAATCCCTGCACACCCTAAACCCCACCTCAGCAGGATTCATTATAAGCAGCTGTTTTGCTGTCCATAATTTAGATTTTTAATTGAATTGTATGTGCCCAGAATAAACATACACTTTATATTGTAAGCAAGTGTAAATCAGGTCATAAATGATCTAATAAGAAAATGGATGCAAACAGATATACAGACATGATTGTTTGACATGATTGTCTAAAGTACAAAAAGCAATACGGAATCAGTTCTAATCAGAAGTCATAGTTTTAATAAAGACATTTTTGTTTACTGATTCCATCCGTAACTGTAGAAACATAATGGATTCTTGAGAATCTTTTTCTTTACTTCCACAGTCAAACAGAACATGGGGGGAGAATCAGAGAATGAAAATGGAGGAATCTGTTTTAATGACAGGTGAGTGTTGTTAAAGTTCACTATGTTTGTATGTTAAAAATCAGGACTGACACGTTAGGTAGTGTTACAAGGTCTGACAGTGCTGCTCCACCACAGCTCTCAAAGAAATTAAAAAGAAATTCGGGTTTAGAGCATAGAACACCTCAACCCCGCAGACTATGTACCCGGAGTCTCATCTCCCACACTGAAACTTGTATGTATAAAACCCCCAGGCAAGGAGTACAAGGTAACACTTTAGAATACTGTATCTTACTCACTGCATAACTAATAAGGAATTATTGAAGAACTAGTAGGTAATTCTTCATTAACTACTTCTTCACTGCTGTTAACTACTAAGGAAGATGTGTTAACTAATCAGTATGTAATAGAATTTTATGATTGTGTTAAGTAACAGTTAGTTAATCAATAACTACTGAATTCTGTCATACCTCCTGAAGAACTACCATTAATTATCTACTAATTAAGGTTCAAGAAAAATAACTATGAAGTAACTAGTAATGAACAGTCATACACAGTAGTCACTACAATAATCCAGTTTTTTTTAGCATTGTAGTGGTGGAAGTACACAAATCAAGTACTTGAGTAAAAGTAAAGATACCCCAATAAAATATTACTCCAGTACAATTATAATTAGGCCATTTTCAAAATTACCTTAGTAAAAGTACAAAGGTAATTAATTTTTAAAGTACTTAAAAAGTAAAAAGCATATTATTATACTTAGTTCTTATACATTTTAAACTTATTTTGCACCATTCAAGTTCCGGCAATATCACGGTAGCCTACATTTTACAGTGATTTGGTGATGCAAGAGCGCGGGCATTTGCATCCTCTTCTGGAGAGTTCTCAGCGCCGCCGATTTGGTGCATTTCTTCTGCGAAATACAGGTTTGTGTACGTTTTATTTAATCTATAAAATCATTACTGTGCTGTAAATCATTTTATTTTATGCAAGGCAACATACAAGGACGCGATGTCAGTAAGCCTACCTAGCTGAGTCTGTCTTTTTTGCGTGATGGAAACGCCTGATCCCTTGCATAAAACAAATTATTTTATTCATAAATATAGTAAATCTATTTACATCAGATGTTAAATATGTTCTTAGAGCTGTGCACTGTTTGTTTATGGGCAGTGAAACGCAGGGCGGCGGTCTGAAGTTAAGCAGTTTCCCCGCCGAACACGAGCCCAGCTCCCGCAAGAGATCCAGCAACACTACGGTGGAGACGCGAGAACAGTTGATTACTTGAATTACTTTTAAAGGTTTAACTTTTGATTATAAATGTTTGTTAAACAAGTTTAAATGTAGGCAGTATACATGTTAAAACAAAATATCATCTGAAATAAAGGAAAATATCATGTAGCTTAAACGAGTCATTGTCGTGTATTTTACAAGGTGATTACGTTAATAGTGTTTTTTTAACAGTAAGTTTTATTTGAGTCAGAAGTATGTGGTAATTCTTTATTAATTACTAATGGGTTCCCTATATTTTCACTTTAGAATACTGTTTCAGGTTATAAGTAATTCCTGAAGAATTATCTAATAATTCTTTATTAATTACTAATAAGTTCCCTATATTTTCACTTTAGAACACCGTTTCAGGTTATCAGTTGCCTAATTCCTGGATAGTTATTTGATAATTCTTTATTAATTACTAATGGGTTCCCTATATTTTCACTTTAGAATACTGTTCCAGGTTCTAAGTAATTCCTGAAGAATTATCTAATAATTATTTATTAATTACTAATAAATTCCCTATATTTTCACTTTTGAACACTGTTTCAGGTTATAAGTAGCCTAATTCCTGGATAATTATTTGATAATTCTTTATTAATTACTAATGGGTTCCCTGTATTTTCACTTTAGAATACTGTTCCAGATTATAAATAATTCCTGGAGAATTATCTAATAATTATTTATTAATTACTAATAAGTTCCCTATATTTTCAGTTCCCCTCAGTTGTTGCCTAAAATACATGAATTTACTCAATGGCATTATATGCTGAGGAAAACAGACACACACAGTACTGTATATAAAATATAAAAACTAATCTGAGGTTAGTTTTGTATGACTGTTCATTAGTTACTACTTAGTTATTTTTCTTGAACCTTAATTAGTAGATAATTAATGGTAGTTCTTCAGGAGGTATGCCAGAATTCATTAGTTATTGATTAACTAACTGTAACTTAACACAATCATAAAATTCTATTACATACTGATTAGTTAACACATCTTCCTTAGTAGTTAACAGCAGTGAAGAAGTAGTTAATGAAGAATTACCTACTAGTTCTTCAATAATTCCTTATTAGTTATGCAGTAAGTAAGATACAGTATTCTAAAGTGTTACCGAGTACAATTAAAGAATATGTTTATTTAAACATAACTTAGGAGACAAAATGGAAAAGCTTCTGGAGAGGGAAAGGCCAAAACAAAAAAACAAACAAAAATTAGCCAGCTAACTATGGTTACACCTCTTTACTGCACATAAAGAACATGAAAATAAACAATATAAGCTTACCTCCCTGGCTAACCACAAAACTGGAGAAAGCATGGTAAAAATAAACACGCACCCTTCTCTCTACAAGGTGTGCACAACACACTCTGGCCTAAACATTGACATTGCCTAAAACTGCGTCACATACATTTAATAATAAGCTATGTATCAGGGAGATATTAAATACCATCGGGTATAAATAAATTTAGACATCATTATGTGATTTCCTTTTTCAGAGCTTGAAGTGAATTATGTGAAGGTAATTCACCAAACGATATTCAAGGTTTTCAAAAATCAAGGGAAAAAACTGGAACAAACTGAACTACAGTTAAAGGCATCCAAGACTGACTTGGAAAGAGTCTTACAACAATTAGAAACAATCAGAGAAAAATCTGGTCTCCTAGAAAATAAAAAAGACCTTGATATGAAAGAATCACAGATGCAACAAATAGAAAAACAACTGCTACAAATAACCAAATACATTGAAGAGAAACAGAATCAGCTTGAGGAGAAAGACACACAACTGGAGGATATGAGCAAACAGATCAGCGAGAAAGAGAAACTGCTGGAGAGCACAATCAAAGAGATGGAAACCAGTAAACAACAACTACAGACACTGAGACAGGAGCAAATGAGACAGCAGGAAATGCTGGAGAAGAAAGAACAGTTGAGGATTTCAGGTAAGAAATTTGATCGATATTTTACATTTGAAAATTTTATCAAAAACATTAATTAAAAACAAATGGGTGTTTAAGGGAATAACCTTTTTGATCTAACATCTGGGATTGTGTTTATGCTTCTCTCAGAGTTTAATGAAAAATCCAAATGTCTTGAAGAAACAAAATCTCTTCTAGAAGAAAGAGATGGAAAGATTAAAGATCTGGAGAAAGAGAAAGACAGACTTGATGAAGAACTTCAAGACAAAGACAGACGTCTTAAGGACATTAATGCCAAACTGATGCAAACAGTCAGAGAGGTTGAAAAGAAACAGAATCAGCTTCAGGGGAAACACACACAACTGGAGAACGTGCACAAAATGATGAATGAAAAAATGAGACGCCCAGAGAACAAATCGAAAGATCTGGAAGCCAGTAAATGTCAACCAGAGGAACAGGAAACTAAAGGCACACATCTGGAGAAATAACAGCTGTGTATGAGCCAGATTTTTTAAATACTACGGTGGCAGCTCCATTTTAAGGACATCCATTTGGGGTAGTGCTTTTTAAAATAATTGCAATGTTTCTGGTTGTGTTTATTTTGGTGATATGTGTATTTCATTTGTGGGTTGTTTTCATACTTTATCTGCTACTGTGCCTTTCCTATAAAATCTCAGTCAATGTGGTGTTTAATCGTAAATGTGTGTGTATCTCCCACTGATCTATATAAATGACAGTGGTGCGTCTCCTTTTATTTTACTTTTGTTCATGTAACAGGGTCAGATGACATTCCTGAGTTCAGGGCATTCCTTCAAGTCACTGGTTGTGTAAATGGGGTAGCAGCTGTTTAGTTTACTTGTTAACTAGTTTAATAGTTGACCCAGAAGTTGGCTATGCAAAAAGCAGCATAAACTACCCTTTGAAAATAGGCTGAACCCTAAGTTTAATGAAATCAAAACGCCAAGCGTTTAGGGTGAACCCGATGAAAATGAATAACTAAGCATTTTTAAATGGTAGCACTTACTGTATCACTGGTTGTATCTTGCACAGTTTAAAATTTAGGGTACAGGACTAAAGGCAAACCTTTTTGCTTTTCACTGCTCCCATAGTGTGTGATTGCAAAAAAAAGTTTGTATTGAACATTTATGGAGCAACAGATTTTGTGTGAAAATAAACCCTAAAGTGATTCATTTTGTTTAAATTTTTTATAAATTTATGAGGTGGCTATGGGGGTCTTTTACCCATCACATGGGGGTAAAAGGCTCACCAGCATGGGTCAAAAGGCACACAAATTATTGATACAAATACTTAAGCTAAAAAAATACGTTTTTAATAGCTAATGTCTTAAGTTAAAGGTTGTATCAGCGATTGTGGGTGACGTCACTTCTGTTTGTGTTTGAAGCGAGATCCCAAACAAACCAAGTTAGCTCGCCCCTCCCTCCCGTTTCGTGCATCATGAAAAAAAAGATCATGCACGCGCATTTCTTAAAGCGACAAACAAACGATATTCAGATTGACGTTCTACCTCAATGATGGCTTATTCTGCTGGGTAAGTCATTATAGTTGTTTTTCTAACATAATTTTATATCTGTTACTTGCACTTTTAATATTGTGTATTCTAAAATAGGCTACTGCAGAAAATGTTTTTACTTTTTTTTACTTTGAATGCATGAACATCATGTTATCAACTACATATCTAGCTTCCAGCTTTTCTCCCAGCTAACAGAATAGTTTTTTTTTTATATAAATGGTTACAATCAAGTTGTCATAACGTTGCCTATTATCATTTATTTAACTTGTACAGTTCTGTACGATTTAAAAATTTTCAAATCTTTAAGCTCTCTCCACCGTTCAAAAGCCTTCCCAATTATTATTCGTTTCTTTAAAGGGGTCATATAATGGTACATGCACTTTTACAAGGTGATTGTACTGAAATGTGTGTTCATATATCATATTTCATATAATGATATAATGATCATTTATCATATAATGATAAAAATCCATCCAGTGGTTTTGTTTTAATCTCCTTATATGTTTTCCCCTGCCTCAAATCGAGCCGTTCGAGCCTGTGACGTCACAAGCTCGCACGCCCCTCCCACGATTGTTGATTGACAGGAGCGTTTCAACACAGACCCGCCCTCGCTCATGAGGGAGCTGTCAGTCTGCGCGGCGCGGACCGGCGCGGTCATTGTTGAAATGCTGGAGCACTGTCTATGAGCAGAATGGCGTCTAAGCGATTGTGGTGTTCTGTTCTTGGGTGTAATAACGAACACAGCAGTCATTTTAATGTTCCTAAATCCAAACCGCTGAAGACACAGTGGCTGTGTTTGTTTTCGAAGGGAATATTCCCCACGAGCAACGTCAATGCTCTCATGTTTGCGCGAATCATTTCACACACCAGACTGCTTTATAAACGAGGATCAGTATAAAGTTGGATTTGCTGAGAAGCTGCTCATGAAAAAAGGATCGGTACCAGCTATTCGTGTTCCTGCTGAATCTCCAGAAGAACGGAAGTGAGTGTAACGTTTTATTAAACTTTATATTAATATATTAATCTTTGCAAATCGCTAGCTGCACGCTTCACAATGAATGCGTCTAAGGTTTACACTCAGGGTACATTACGGCATGTTTTCTATGTATGACGTTCTCAATATAATTCATAATCCCACATTTATACTGAACAACGCGTTATGGTTATTGTGTTATTGAGTTACAAATGGTGTATGCACAGCACAGAGGGGCGGGGTGAGCAAAGCTCATTATCATTTAAAGGCATATGCACTGAAACGGCGTGCTGAAAACAGCTGTTTTTGACCAGGTAAAATAAGTGTTTTCTTACAATACTAATGAGAATTTTAAATTAAAGTATATTACAAACTTTTAATTTAGACCCTAAAGAATCATATTAGCTTGTACAAAAATGGTATTATATGACCCCTTTAACGAATAACGACGGTTTTCCCTCGCCCTAATCCTCCTTTTCTTCTTGGGGATTGCCTCTTCCATGTTCACTGTATCTGGTCCGTTGATAGACGCGCTGGCTTCTTCTTCAGCTCTGACTTCGTGTGCAGGCGCCGTGCACGAGCGCAAAAATAAAACAAAACCCGCCCCTGTCGGTGATTGGTTGGAACACTGTTTATTTTGGTTTTGAGTGGTGGTTGTACCCATTTGTTTTTGTGTGCAGATCTCAGAGCCTAGGCTGCCTACAGAGACGCGTTTTTTTGACAGCCTGCTTATGGGGCGGGCAGCTAGCGGATCATTAGGAAAGATTAGATGAATGTGATCATTTATGTTTGGGCCTGAAATCGCTGATACAACCTTTAATACTTGTCCAAAACAATCACTTTTGCAAAGTTTGTACTATTTTCTGTTTATTTTGATAAATAAAATACTTTTTTGTTCAACAAATACATGCCTATACTGTCATTAAATATGTTAATATAAAAATATATTAAAAAAATTCAGAAACAACATTATTTAAAAAAGTAAATGTTCTGAAAGCATTGATGGAGATCCCATAATAATTTAATATAGATTTACAGTAGTAACAATAAATTATATTTTATTATATGGGGCGGGGGGTTCAGACTTTGTTTCAGAAATGGCCAGTGGTGTAGTCCCTCAACTGGAAACATTCCAAAGTTATTCCGATAAAAAGAGTTCCATAAAATCCTTAAACGATCTGAGGCCTATTGCACTCATCTCTCTTGTGATAAAGGCAATGGAGAGGATGATTAAAAACGATATCACTAAAGTAACTGACTCACAGTTGGATCCACTTCAGTTTGCCTATCGCACAGGCAGAGGGGTCGATGATGCAAAGGTGTTTATCACAGACCTTGTTCATAAGCATCTGGAGTCTCCTTATACCACAGCCAGATTTTTGTTTGCTGCTAAGAAACTTTTCAGTCGTTTTCATCTGGAGGACCAAATGATTTTCTGGATAATTGATTTTTTGACCAATAGTTTAAGTTAGTTTAGTTTAGTTTAGTTTAATTTAGTTTAGTTTAGGCATGAGTGTTTACACAAACACTAATAAAATAGAGCTCGCCCGAGCCTCAAAGAGATCAGTATCTCCTCAGAGTAATGCCAGGTGGCCAAGAAGAACTCACTCCAAAACACACACACACACACACACACATACACGGACCTTTCATGAAACTTCCTCATATAAAGACATTACTAAGATAAATTTGATATATTTGATATGTTTTTATGTTGGCCACGTCCTATTGGGGTATCTATGATTTTATCGTAGTATTAAATGGACTATAAGTGCTTGTAATTATGCATTAAGCTGTATCTTTGTAATTCCTATTCTTTTTCATGTTTTATTTGGTACCGTTGTAATCCGCTTAGTCTCACCGAGTTAACCAGATACAGGAAATTACAGTAAAATGTATTATTCTATGCACAACAGCTTTCTGGTTAAAAAAGCAATCTTTTAGCAATGTCATAAACTATGCAGATGAGTTGTCCTGACAAGACAAAAGAATACTTTCCCGCTAACGGTTTGCCGAATGACTATTGGCCAGTTCACTCCAAAGAGGTGTGGACTCCGGTTTCCTTAAAAGGATGGAATGCCAGTTCCTCCTTGTCTTCAGTGCTCTTCATCTCTTCCTTCTTCATCTCTTGGACGCTCTTCAAGATCTTCTCGTCAGTCCGTTAGTTTAGTTTTTCTTTTGTTTCCCGTTTCGTATTCTACTTTGTTCATTTCCGGAAGAACACCGGAAGAACCACGGACCCACGAGGACGCTGACTCACGCAGCCTTGTTCAGCAACATAAGAGAACCATATATGCAATTATTCATTTTAATAATAATATAATAATAATAATTTTTTTAAAAAGCACTTTTCATAGTTAAAAGCAATCCCAAAGTGCTACAGAGTATAAACAAAGATAAAAACCGGGAAGAAAAATTAAAAAGTTAGCAAAAAGTAAAAAATGTTTGCTTAAAAAGTAAGGTTTTTAGTCCTTTCTTAAAAGAGTCTATGGCTTGAGGAGCCCTTAGGTTTTCTGGAAGGGAATTCCAAAGACGCGGTGCCGCTGAGCAGAAGGCTCGATCCCCCATAGTACGGAGCTTAGTTCTAGGTGGTTGGAGAAGGGCCTTGTTTCCAGAGCGGAGATTGCGTGAAGAGTTTTGCTTTGTGAGTAGTTCCTTTAAGTAGGGGGGTGCGTTGCCGTGGATGCATTGATGGGTGAGTAGGATGATTTTATAGTTAATCCTGTATGAGACAGGAAGCCAGTGAAGAGAGTGAAGGATGGGAGTGATATGGTCATATTTTCTTTCCTCATTAGGATCCTTGCAGTACTGTTCTGAATGTATTGTAATTTTTGAAGGCTTTTGCCAGGAATCTCAAAGAGGAGAGAGTTGCTGTAGTCCAGCCTCGAGGATACAAAAGCATAGACAAGTTTTTCAGCATCTGACAGACCAAGTGTGGGACGGAGTTTAGCAATGTTCCTGAGGTGATAGAAGGAGGTTTTGCACAGATGTTTTATGTGGGCGTCAAATGTGAGTTGAGCATCAAATCTTACGCCCAGGTTTGTGACTGTCGATGATAGTGGAATGCTTTGACCAGAGAAGGTAATGTGGGTTATGGGTGATGACTGGACCTGATGTGGTGTACCAACTAAAATAGCTTCTGTTTTGGAGCTATTTAGCTGTAGAAAGTTTGCCTTCATCCATGCCTCAATCTCCTCAAGGCAGGAGCTCAATGATGCCAGAGTGGCTGTAGATGGGATGAGGTTGTTTTTTATATATAACTGAGTGTCATCGGCATAGCAATGAAATGATATTCCATGCCTGTCGATGATGTGGTCAAGGGGCAGAGTATAGATGGTGAACAAAATCGGCCCGAGAATCGACCCTTGAGGAACACCGCAAGTGACTGTATGCGTCTGAGACTTTACACCTCCCAAGGAAACATAATCTGTTCTTCCAGACAGGTAGGACTGGAACCAGCTCAAAGCAGTGTCAGAGAGTCGAATAGTATGATGGAGGCGCTGAAGGAGGATATTGTGATCAACCGTATCAAAAGCTGCAGATAGATCCAGTAGGATGAGAAGCGATGGTGTGCCGGTGTCAGCCGCCATCAACAGGTCATTTGTGACCCTGATCAG